AAATAAATAGTACATTGAAAGAAATTTTCTCGTTAATATAACTAGTCAATGGCATTCGCTGGCCTATAAGCTAGAAAACTATTATCCAACCAATCCAGGTACTGAATCGTAGTACACTTAACAAACAAATCGCTTGGACCCAAGCATGTTAGTTTAAAACAGACATGCTAGGGTTCAAACAGTCTGAATGAAGTTATCTCGCGTTTCCCAGGGTGTTTATCAGCTGATAGCTTTGTATATGCATTCATTAAAAAAGTAATTCACATTATCCAGTAAAGATAGTGTTTCGCGACTCTGTAGTAAACATAATAAGAAACAAGATACCGGGGATGTTTTGGCTCGTGACTTGGTTCACCCACGCTCATGTGACAAATAGATTCCCGCCACATTCACTTGAGAAAGACACTGTGACAGCGTCGAAAGCTTGCGATTGCTAAAACATTGACTCTGCTTCGGTATCTTGTTTCTCATTAATCAGTTCGTATTAGTTTTAACCAAAAAAACTTCGATATACGAAACACGTAACAAAAAACAAACTGCATTGCATTTGATCACCGACCAAAATCTCCCAACTTGTACTATGAGAAATGTGCGAGACCTGCAAAAAGAATGTGTATGTTCACTTAATATCCTTAGAGGAAAGGAAGAGTGGTGCTTGAAAAAGTCACAAAAGAAGGCAAAGAGATCTCTGGTGCAGAGGGTCGACTCCTCAACCCCGGCCACGCCATTGAAGCAGGATGGTTTCTACTTCAGTATGCTAAAAGGACGCAAAACTACGAGCTGGCAAGAATCGCCATCGACAAGTTCATTGAACAGTCCTTCGATACTGGATGGGACGACATGTATGGCGGTATCCTTTACTATTTGGACGCAAGTGGCTTCTCACCGACCCAGCTCGAGTGGAACATGAAACTGTGGTGGCCTCATGCTGAAGCGCTTATTGCACTTCTTATGGCTTACAAGGAGACCAGAGACCAACGCTTCATAGAGAAGTTTGATCTTGTTTTCCAGTACACGTTCTCACATGTTAGTGATTGGAATTTCTTTTCACAATTATAGCACCCATCATGTTTTCATCCATAGACCCAGGCAGTTAAAATTTCTAATGTTATAAACACCAGTTGACAAAACCCAC